TACAGAATTCAATACTTTCCTACATTTTTATATTTCATTCAACTAAAAAATATATTAAATCAAATTTCCTCAAAAAAAACTTACATTATTTTTTATTTTACAAACGACTTAGTTTGACCAAATAAAATCCGTCAACTTTGTAGTGTAATTTGCTGAATTTTGTAAAAAAATGTAGCAGTCTATCGTTATTAATTTATTGTTTTATAAACGTTGAGATATAATTTCCCTTTCGTTTCAGTATGAATCACAGTATAACCTAAAACTTAACCCTGTTGCTGCGATCCATTTCACGGCTCTCCGGTTTATTCTCGTCCAGTTTCCGGACCGTCGACTCGACCGCTGCACTTTTCCCAGATAATACGTATATATGTATTCGTCGTGACGTGTACGTGTCGAGCTTTGCCTCGTCCTCTAATCCGATAACGCGCATCAAGCTTCAAAAAATATTTCTTCCGTGGGGAACAAATTCAAAAGGAACGATCTTCACCCTTGTTGTGTACAAATGCAAATCATTTTTATGCTCGTGGGACAAATAAGTTTTGATCGATGTCATTACAATTAAATTTATATTTAAGACAGTATTTTTACAAAAATTTTTCACGTCTTTGTCAACTATATTGTATTGTGCTTAATTTAAAAATTTTATACATTGTTTAATTTCGAGGTATTGAAAATTGTTTTAAGTGAAAGGTATTGTAAATTGTCTTAATTTTAAGATATTGTAAATTGTTTTAATTTCAAGGTATTGTAATTTGTTTTAATTTTAAGATATTGTAAATTGTTTTAATTTCAAGATACTGTAAATTGTTTTAATTTCAAGATACTGTAAATTGTTTTAATTTCAAGATTTTGTAAATTGTTTTAATTTTAAGATACTGTAAATTGTTTTAATTTCAAGATACTGTAAATTGTTTTAATTTCAAGATATTGTAAATTGTTTTAATTTCAAGATATTGTAAATTGTTTTAATTTGAAAGTTTTGTAAATTGTTTTAATTTCAAGATATTGTAAATTGTTTTAATTTCAAGATATTATAAATTGTTTTAATTTCAAGATTTTGTAAATTGTTTTAACTTAAAAATATTGTAAATTGTTTTAACTTAAAAATATTGTAAATTGTTTTAATTTCAAGATATTGTAAATTGTTTTAACTTCAAAATATTGTAAATTGTTTTAATTTCAAGATACTGTAAATTGTTTTAATTTCAAGATATTGTAAATTGTTTTAATTTCAAGATATTGTAAATTGTTTTAATTTCAAGATATTGTAAATTGTTTTAATTTCAAGATATTGTAAATTGTTTTAATTTCAAGATATTGTAAATTGTTTTAATTTCAAGATATTGTAAATTGTTTTAATTTCAAGATATTGTAAATTGTTTTAATTTCAAGATATTGTAAATTGTTTTAATTTCAAGATATTGTAAATTGTTTTAATTTCAAGATATTGTAAATTGTTTTAATTTCAAGATATTGTAAATTGTTTTAATTTCAAGATATTGTAAATTGTTTTAATTTCAAGATATTGTAAATTGTTTTAATTTCAAGATATTGTAAATTGTTTTAATTTCAAGATATTGTAAATTGTTTTAATTTCAAGATATTGTAAATTGTTTTAATTTCAAGATATTGTAAATTGTTTTAATTTCAAGATATTGTAAATTGTTTTAATTTCAAGATATTGTAAATTGTTTTAATTTCAAGATACTGTAAATTGTTTTAATTTCAAGATGTTGTAAATTGTTTTAAAATTTAATCTCATATTTATAAATTTGTATATAACAAATCCGAAATTCTAAATATCCAAAAATTTGAAAACTACTCTGCATAAAACAATAAACGAAGTTCCATCATTTTAAGGAAGATCCATCTCGAGCAAAATTGACTGTAACCTAATATCGCGTTGAGTTTGTTCCAAATTTTGTTCGTTGATAATGAATGATAATAAAAGCGTATATATACGATCCATATTTCATGACGAGATAATGCATCGGCGAATATTAAAAGTTGTTGAAAGCTGCATTACTTCTCAATCGTCTCTTTCGTAGAACGTCAGACGTTATTCCGTTTGAAGGGTAAATTTCATCGAGGTCTGACGCATAAATTTCACCGAAGTCGGAGGCATAAATTCCGTGGAAGTCTGTAGAGTCGAGCTGTTCCACCACCACGGATTCCGGTATCCTAGAACTTAACCTGATTCCCTCAACCTACATCGAAAGCTCTCTCGTTTATTTTCGTTCAACTTTCCAGACACGCAGGATCCCGTGGCGTTCACGTCTCACGAGACCGTCACTGTTTGTAGGTCCTCGAAGCTTTCATCCTCTGCTACGATCATTTTCTTTTCTCCCCGCGAAACTGGCTATTTTTCTCTTCATTGTTTGTATCGCCGAAATTCATTCGTCACTGCATCTGAATTTTTATCGCATCATTTCGTTCGTGATGGGAAACTTTCGGCGTTGTGGGTTGAACAAAAGTGTTCGTCTTTTTTTTTGCGGAGATATTCCATTACGAATATTACCGTACAACTATCTTACATATGTAACTGAAATCTTATTGTATAATACTTATAGTATTCTAAACTAATGTTCGAAGATTAGGGGAAAAGTCAGTATGTTTCGTTAGTATTCTTAATACAAAACGATTGGTGATTGATTGTAAATATATGGCTAATTTTGAAACATCTGATTCGAGTCGTTTGAACGTCTGATATGTTTTCACGACAGAAAAGTTTTTGAAAATTGTATTCATGACATGTTAATATAATGTTTAAAGATGGAAGGAAATGTCAATTTATATAATACGTAGATATCTTTGATACAAAATTCCTGATGGTTAATTATAACATATGAATAACTAATTTTGATATCTAAAAGGACTGATATTATTTCATGACAGAAAAGTATCTTAAAATGACTCTTATGATATACCAATTTAAAGTTTGAAGTATATACAGAACGATAATTTAAACGATTCATTAGCATTCTTAACAGAAAATGACTGATAAATATAACAAATGAATAATTTTGAAATCTACAAAGTCTAACATTATTTCATGACAGAAAAGTTTTGCCAAGAGTCACTTATGACATATCAACTGAAAGTTAGAAATTTGAGGAAAACGTCCTTGTAAATATCTTTATTATAGCATTATCATTACGAAATGTAATCTACTAGGAACTACCATTGGGAATTACTTTTCTGTCATGAAATCTTGTTAGACTTTTCACGTTTCGAAATCGATAATTTGCTGAATGACTGTCTAATAGCAACGTTTTATGTCTTCTAACTTTGATAATCTTAAAATTATTAACGGTGCTGTATAATGTGGATATGAAGCACATTTAAAGCTTCAAAGTGATATATTACAAGTGCTATTTCATAATACGTTTTTGCCATGAAATCTCATCAGACATGTTACATTTTAAAATCAATAATTTGATGAATTATAATATATTTTCTTTTCATAATTTCTAACATTGCTAACATTATGAATGCTAACAGGGCATTTATACTCCTGTTTTCAGTATGACTCAAGCTATAAATCAATATGCCATAACCACCATTTTGTGATGAATGTCTATCACGAAATTTCATCAGTGCTTTGACATTCTAAAATGAATAATTTGATGTACAACAATCTAATACCTTACTTTCTAAATTCCTAACTTTCCTAATAATTAGAATATTAATGGCGCTCTTATATTTTCTTTTTAAGCACACTAGTAGCTTTAAATTGATATACCATAAGCACTATTTCACGATACTTTTCTGTCATAAAATTTCATCAAAACTTCTACATTCCGAAACGAGTAATTTGATCTTCTACAATCTAATACCTTCCTCTTTAAATTCCTAACTTCCTTAATAATTAGAACATTAACAGGGCTCTTATATTCTCTTTTTAAGCACACTTGTAGCTTTAAATTGATATATCATAAGCACTGTTTCGCGATACTTTTCTGTCATGAAATTGCATCAGAACTTTCACATTTCGAAACGAATAATCTGATCTCCTATAATTTAATACTTTCGTCTTTCAATTTATAACTTCCTTAACAATTGTAACATTAATGGCGCTCTTATATTTTCTTTTTGAGCATACTTCCAGCTTTAAATTGATATATCATAAGCATTATTTCGCGGTATTTTTCTGTCATGAAATCTCATGAGATCAACATCCCAAAAATTTCATACATAATAATCTGATACCTTTCCCTTTAAATTCCTAACATCCCCAATATTTACAACCTTAAATGTGCCTCTATACCGTCAGTCTAAGCACACTTTCAATTTTAAATTGCTATGCCACGAGCACTATTTCGCTACACTTTTCTGTCGTGAAATCACGTTCGACTTGTAGCGTGTCACGTTTAAAAAATCGAAAGATTCGTCTTTCTGAAAAGCTATTTCGCTGTTTCGGAGAGCAGCAATAAAATGTAAAATATGAGGGTTATATCTGATCCATGATCCATCTGATGTTTTATCGCGGTACACCATAGGGATTGTTCCCCGGTTAATAGTGTTTCCATGGGGTAGATCGAAACACCCCTGCTTATTTCTCTTCACCCTCGAAAACTCCATCGAATCCATTGCCGACTGTAGCTGTTATTTGATCCTCCAAAGACAACACCGCTTATGCTAATCTATGAACATGGTCTGGTTTCCAGTCACTGTGCATAACGGGAATCTCGAATTCTGAGTTACGTCCAACGACGGTTGTTATACTGTGCTAACATCCGCTGTGTTTGGCGTAGCTATGACGAGGAAGCCACTCGAATTGTACCATTTCAATTTTAAGCCGATCGATTTTTAGCGATAACGCACAATGATATGCAAATGTTTGGTCTGATAAATAATTTTCTCATCTTCCAATAAATTGCCGTGAATTCTGTGTATCCTTTATTTCGTTTGTGAACACGTATTTACGAATGAATATTCATTTATGATATTTGCTATGAATTTATAAAATTTTTAATAATAGTCGTGTTTTATTCTTTCAGACTCTGTCAGATGATATGACGCATCATGGTGCCAAGAGAACAATCAGATCGAGTCTTCAGTTACAGGTTAGAGAATATTTCAATAAAATATTTTTAATACTGCGTTTAGGTAAAACTGATATTTCCGAATGCATTCAATTTATTCTTTCGGTAATTAAATTCATTTTAAAACATGTGTATTCAACTATAATATAGTATAGTATACAGGTATTATATTAGGTATAGTGTACTTGTATAGTATACAATTATATTACACAAGTACAGTATACTGCATAATCATCAGACCTTTTCAGAAACCACCAGTAATCTGACAAAAAAATAATTTCAACAAAAATTAACAAACTTTAACTTGATTATCAGTTGCAATAAAAAATTGTCAAAAAGGCGTATTTTCAAGGGACAAGTTATTTTGCATAAGTGAAAAGTACTGTGACGTTATTGTCACATGACAATTTAATGAAATTTCATAACAGAAAAGAATCACCAAATGTCACTTACGGTATATCAATTTAAAACTCAAAGTTTGCCAAAATTAACGATGTAAGTGGTTCGCCAGTATTCATATTAGCAAAGTTACAAATTAAACGTGAAACATATCGACTTATCAGTTTTACAACGTACAAAGTTTGACGTGTTTTCGTAATAGAAAAGTGTCGTGAAATATTGCTTATATTAATTTAAATATTGACGTTTTCTGGAAATTAATATGTGAAGGTGCTGTTGATATTCTGATCGTTGGCAAATATAAAAATTAAGAAAGCAATGTGTTACACACATTTATAACAGAAAAGTATAACGAATTAACACTTGTAATATATCGTTTTGGAGCTCTAGGTTTGCTGAAAATTAATGGGTAAACGCTTTACAAATATTTTTAGTGTTAGGAAAGTTACATATTAAGAGCGAAAGACTTTAAATTACTGTTCGTCAAATTATTGATTTCGAAACATAAATGGTTTAATAGAATTTCATGATAGAAAATCATCACGAAATTCTGCTTGTGACATGTCAATTTACAGCTTAGAATTTTCCGAAAATAGCTGTATAAACGCACCGTTGATATATTTAATATCAGCAAGGTCGCAAACTGAGATAGAAACCCCTTACGTTGTTTATCGATTTCGGAACGTAAAAGGTCTTGCGCTATAATAGAAAAGTATCGTGAAATGTTGCTTATGATATATCAATTTAAAGGTCGAAGTTCGCAGAAAATTACTGTGCAAGCACTTTGTAATTATCTGTAATAATAATAGAGTTATTGGTTGTAGACCAAAACTAGTAAATTGTCGCACAACAAATTATTGATTTCGAGTAAAAGGTCCTAAGTAATTTCATGACAGAAAAGTATCGTGAAATGTTGCTTGTGACATATCAATTTAAAGGTCGAAGTTCACAGAAAATTATTGTGTAAGCACTTTGTAATTATCTGTAATAGTAATAGAGTTATTGGCTGTAGACCAAAACTAGTAAATTGTCGCACAACAAATTATTGATTTCGAGTAAAAGGTCCTAAGTAATTTCATGACAGAAAAGTATCGTGAAATGTTGCTTGTGACATATCAATAGGAAGCTTAATATTGGCGGAAAATGAGTATATAAATACTCCATTATGATACTCAATAGTAGTAAAGTTATAAATTACGAAAGACGCTCCTTAAATGTCAAATTACCGAAATCGAAACGTTAAAGTCTTGCATAAATTCATGACAGAAAAGTATTATCAAATGTCACTTATGTTATATGAATTTAAAGCTTAAGGTTTACAGAAAATCACTATATAAGCGCACCTTTGATATTATTAATATTACTAAAGTTACAAATTAAAGAAGAACCGTTCAATTCTTGTAAGCGAAACAGCTGATTTTGAAATGTGAAATGATTTATGAGATTTTATGACATAAAAGTATCGCAAAACACCACTCGCGAGATGTGCATATTAACCTTAAAATTTGCCAAAAATATCGATATAAAAGCCCTGAGAATAAATTCAATATTAGCAAAAGCACAAATTAAAAAAGGAACCCGTTAACGGTATCAAATATCAAATTATAGAATTCGGATCGCAAAAGTCTGGCATAATTCATGACAGAAAATTATTTCCAAATATCACTTACATCGATTTAAAGCTTAAATATTACTGCAAATGAATATATAAACGGTTTTCTACTGTCAATATTAGAATTGCAAATTAAATGCTAAAGATATAATACTATTCAAAAAATACTATTCTCTATATGTTTATTTTAAACATGAAGTATGCAGAAAATAACGGTATAAATTCTCCACGATTAAATTAAATATTACCAAAAGTAGAAATTAAAAGAGAAGTCCATTAACGGTGGAATATCAAATTATCGAATTCGGAGCGCAAAATTCCGGCATAGTTTCATGACAGAAAAGTATCGCCAAATATCACTTATGTTATATGAATTTAAAGCTTGAATAGTACTGAAAATTTGTCTGTAAAGGTCGCAACACTAATCTTAATATTAGGAAAATTACAAATTAAAAGCTGAAGGTATTACATCGTCACGTAGGAAATAATCAGTTCTGAAATATGAAAATTTCAATTGCAAATTCATGACAGAAAATTATTACCAAATATCACTTATGTTATATGAATTTAAAGCTTGAATAGTGCTACAATTTATTTAAGAGTCGCAGTACTATTCTTGATATTCGAAAAATTACAAATTAAATGCTAGAGTTATAATATCGTCACGTATGAAATTATCAGTTCCGAAATATGAAAATTCTATCGCAAATTCATGACAGAAAATTATTATCAAATATCACTTATGTTACATGAATTTAAAGCTTGAATAGTGCTAAAAGTATTCTGTAAGATTCGCAGTACTATTAATATTAGCAAAATTACAAATTAAAAGCTGATATTACAATTATCAAATTATCAAATTCAAAATATTAAAAGTCTATCGCAAATTCATGACAGAAAAGTATCGGAAAACACCACTCGCGATATGTTCCTTTTAAGCTTAAAATTCGCAGATAATAACGGTATAAACTCCACCCGAATAAATTAAATATTAGCAAGAGTAAAAGTTAAAAAACAAACCCATTAACAGTATAGAATATCAAATTATCGAATTCCGAATGACGCGAACGAGAGAAAAATATCGCTAAATATCGATAGTTATATCAATTTAAAGCTTATACCTGTAATATTCAGTTACTCGATTTATTATTCGGACACTATGGTATTTGAGAAATTAAAGCTTCCTGTACTTACTTGCAATGTGATTATCGAATTTTCTGGTCCGTAATGAGTTAAAACGCATATTCTAGTTTACAAATATGTAAAATTAAATACTTTATTTTTTATTGTTTTCCACATAATAAGTCATAAACGAAATTAGACCCGATTGGTGTCGAAAAAGTATTCGGACACTTAATATTACATAAAGTTTTTTCTTATTTAGTGTGTATGTAACAACAAAATTATAATTTTAATATTAATTTAATATTTTGTGGGGTATCCCTTTTGTCTGATGACGTGTTGCAGACGTGTTGGCATGTTTGAAATTATTTTATTTAAATAATTTTGAGTAATGCGTTTCCACTCTTCCGTCAGTCGTTTTTTAATTCGTCTTTTGTTTTTATAGGGGTGGTCCTAATATTACGATCCAATAAGACCCATAGATTTTCAATTGGATTTAAATCCGGTGATTGTGGTGGAGGATGGAGCACTTTCAGACAAGTATAAAATAAGGATTCTTGAACTATTCTCAATTTGTGTATTCCTCAACTATTCTCGATTTGTGTTTCAGATCGCTATCCTGGTAGAACTTAAAACTATCGCGTATACCCATATTCGTTGTACTTTTTAATAAATTTTGCTTTAATATGTCTAAATGTTTGTTCTTGTCCATAATACATTTAAAAGATGTTGCCTATAATGGTAGAGCGGCTCGTAAAGGCCACACATAAACAAGATCAATCGAAAGAAACGTATAACGTTCGCTAAAGAATTAATTTCTAAAACGCAATCATAGTATATATAAACGTTTCGTTAAAATCAGAAATATTGCCGAAGTCATAAATCAGAAATTAAACCCATTCGCAGAAATGATCGAAGGGAAACTCGTCACGAGGAACAATGTGACGTGATAGAACCTAGTTACGTAATAATAGGGGTCACTAGGAGAATTCCAAGAGATAGTAATATACTCCGTTCTGTTACCTTACCACTTCGCCATAGATATCCCGGAGAACTAAACCTTGTTCCCGTGACCCACGTCGGGTCTCCCTCGTTTATTTCAGTTCGACTTATCCGGCATGTTACTCTCGTAGTAACCGGTTGCCCTCGGGGAATTGTACGTTGTGCAGCTCCTTCAAAGTGTACGGTTATCCAATAATAATATCTCCCAGTTTACAAGGGGGCCGGGTTTATCAATTAATTTTTTTTCTCTTTATGCTCGAATCACCGTGAATGTGGCCGCGGTTTACCCTCGACGGACCGTGAGAATTTAATAATGTAAATACTCCTGAATTTCTTAAGGACAATCTTAACCCGCTTGGTCTTTTTATTTTTGTTGAGGGGGTTGAATAAATGTCTGTCAGAATAATGAGCAACAAATTAAAAGGGAGAATAAGATTTTTGTCATTCTGGATAATCTGACTTATTCTAATTATAATTTTCAATTAGACAGATTTTTAATCTGGTGTCTTTTATTTCTTTTCTTTCTTGTATATCAGTCTCGTTAGATAATTATGTGTTCTTATGAAAACTGCGTTTCGGTTTTTGGGGAACATTTACGTTTTAATTATCGATCAGAATTTTTGAAACGAACGTAACATTAGAATACTGGAATAAAAGTTAAATGTGAATTTGATTTTTTACGGATTGACGTGTACTTTGCGTCGCTTTTGTGGCTGACGTTTTCACGGTTGAACTATGAAAATTTCGTATTCACGAAATTACGAAAATAATGGAAGGCTCGGATCGCAATTAAATGTTTTTCCATCGGGTTGCCGTTTGCGGTAGAATTTTTTAATCTCGACGATTTCGCAAAACTTTCGACGAGGTGAAACTGCAATCTTACGCG